TGGGTATTCTGTTTGCTACTGATCTAAACTACTCTGCTTACAGAAAAATGTGCAACTTAGATCAATTCCACCTCAAGCTTTTTTGAACACATGTACCTAGCCTTAAAGTTCACCAATGTAGAGTGGAATTGAATCTGTCATTCAAAAGATAGCACTTCACAATGGAGAGGTGAATGTATGGTATGTGTTAATCTCTCTGGAGTACTGTGTCCAGTATTGGGCCTCCCATGACAGAAAGCATGTAGAAAAATTGGAGAGTTCAGCAGAGGGCAATAGAAATGGTTAGGGTGCTGGGGCACATGACTTCTGAGGAAACTGGGCTCATATAGCCTGGAGAAGAGAAGACCGAGAGGGGATTTAATAGCAGTCTTCACCTACTTGATGGTTGGTTCCGAAGAGGATGGAGCTAGACTGTTTCAGGTGGTGACAGATGACAGAACAAGGAGCAATGGTCTCGAGTTGCAGCAAGGCCAGTTTAGTTATTAAGAAGATCTTTTTCACTAGGAACAGGTTACTCAGAGAGGTTGTGGAATTTCCATCCTTGGAAGTTTTTAAGACCTGTCTAGACAAAGTCTTGGCTGGGATGGCCTAGTTAGGGATGGTCCTGCTTTGAGCAGAGTGGTGGACTAGGTGACCTCTTAAGGTCCCTTCCAACCCTAATTTTCTATGATTCTTCTTTCCTTCTGTCGCTACAGGCATCAGGGTTTGGGATTTTTGTTTTCGTTTTCCGTCTTTGGAAGCATTTAGTGTTAGTTGTAGCCAAGACTGTGGACTTTCCCTGTGGTGTCTGTATGCCCCTGCAAGAATTAAGATTCCTGGTTAGAAGGTTTTGTCCCAACACTCACACTATTCGTCACATTTGGAGTCAGGAAAGAGTTTTACCCCACAGTCAGATTGGTATGGACTTTTGGAGTTTTTGCCTTCCTCTGTACAAGTGACATGGTCCTCTTCCTTGGGTCTCTTGAGTTTTTATTTAACAACCCTCCAGTGGCAGAACATTAACAGTGCCCTTGACTCCACACTTTACTGTGGCAGGTTAGGGTGCTCCTGGTGTCTTTGTGCTATGTGCTTGGTAGTTGCATGAAAAGGTTGTTTATCTACCGTATCCTTAAAACTACACAAATACATGGATGTTTTGAATAGAATTGTTTGCATTTTGAGGAGGGGGTTGGGCTAGATGACCTTTTGCATGCCCTGCCAGCCCTACTTCTTTTAAATATTATGTGATCAGTAGCAGTTGATATAAAAATGTGTGACAATAGGGTAAATAGAATGCTATTTATTTTCTGTAAGTTAAGATAGAAAGGCTACCTGGGATCAGCAGGGGAGATCTAGAATTTGTTGAATACCCATGAAACTGCTGAAAAAGATATATTTAAAAGTTGAGCTAATTTTAATTGGCTTTTTTAGGAGAAAGCAGTTCTCAAGGTAGAATTTAAGCAGCTCTTACACAATTATCCACCTATATTGTAGATTTTCAAATCTAAGCCATATTAGTGTTTTAATTTCACCTTTCACTTCTTTAAATGGCCATTTACTTTTATTCCTGTTGCATTTAGGCTTCCTGTTGTGCAGCTCTGAAAATGCCAATCCATTCTGACATACTACAGATAATACTGGATTACATCTATACAGATGAAGCTCTTGCAGTAAAAGGTGACAATGATAATAGAATTTCAGAAAATTGTAAACGGAACTGGAATATATTTGCTGCATGTCTTCAATAGCAACAAGCTCTTCAAATAGCAAAATACAGTTTTGTTTTAGCTGAATTTTGTCAAGCTTTTTATGATTAAAGCAAAAATGTATTTCAGGATTGTCAGTTGTAGCCGTGTTGGTCTAAGGGCATCGCCACCCCTCCTGTGGGGCCCGTGGGACAGGGAGGCAGGCCCTATACAGCCCCACACAGCCTGTTATGCCCCTGGGCCGTGGGGCCTCGGCAGCGCAGGCTGCTTTGCTTCAAGCCATGGGGGCTCAGAGAAGCCGGAAGTGCCATGGTGGGCACTTCCTGTTTCATTCCATCTTACAAGCTGGCATGCCGGTTAGCGGAGCATGCCAGCTTGTAAGATGCTGCAAAACAGAACTTCTACTGTAGTTGGAAAAATAGTTCTTTGCAAGCTTTTGGGCACAAACACTCTTCAGGCATAGGGAGACTCTCTTCAGACTCTTCCTATGTCTCAAGAAGGGTGTTTGTGCCCAAAAGCTTGTAAACAACATTTTTGTTCAACTATTTAGTTGGTCTAATGAAAGATATTGCATCTACCCAAAGAACCTTGTCTGCCAAAGTATATTTGATAGACCCAAACCAGTGTGATGTCATTTAGGCTAGGGACTGACATTACACACAAACCAGTATCAGTGATCATAAACTGGTTCAAACCTGTAACAGGATAGAAGTTCAGTGCACATAAACCAATTTCAGTCATTTTGAAAGCAGTTTAAGATGAACCTGGATGGATGTAGTATCAGACTTAACTGATTTAGGTTAAATTGGTTTAGTGAACTTCTCCCCCAGATCCTCTCCAGATTCAAGTTAACTCACAGTCCCCCAGCATCCCAGGATGCTTTGCACCTCCCCTGCAACCCCCCTATGCAGGCTGGGTGGGCTAGTTTTGCCTTAAGCTGTCTGCTCCAGCCAAGTAGGGAGACATGCTCTAGTGACCCCAGCTTCTGGTCTGGACCACTGCCGGTACGTGGCAGCATTTTCAGAATCAAAAGGGAATGTCTGTTCACTGTGCAGCTTAAAATAACCTGTGAAGATTGAATCGATTTAGCCTTGGGCTTTTTGACTGTCTGTACTTAGCCTTGGGGCCAGGCATTTAATCCTGTATTTTGTCTTCCTCTTTGCTTTGCTTTGTCATTATCATGTTTCCCAGAAGTACCTTAATTTCTTTTATACCTTGCCATATGTTTTAAGAGCTCATCCTCAGATTTTTTTTTTAATGATGCTACTAAGTTGTCATATTTTAAATATTGCCATAGTCTACATCTGCCATGGTGCCCAAAACAATGATTATGCAAGGTGGATTGTGTTGAAACTTCTCTAAATTGTTTTTCAAGTTTGCAACTCCCCTTCTGTTTCCAGAATCTCAAAATGTGGAATTTATATGCAATGTCCTTGTGGTAGCAGACCAGCTCCTTATATTTCGCCTAAAAGAAGTTTGTGAAGTTGCAATTACAGAAAAACGTGAGTTTTACCATTCTCTTTAATGGCGGGGACGGGACACTAACTATTCATTAAAGTACTCTGTTGTTGAAATATATATATTTTTTAATTACACTATACTTAACTTCTTTTTTCTCTCCATGGACACAGTTGTTACTTTCTCATATCTGGACAGCCCTAGCCATGTCCATTCAATCTGTCTGGCATTCCAGAACAAAAATAATTCTGCTGCTTGCAGCGTCATCTGTCTCAGACTTTCACCAGTAATCAGTCTCTAACATAAAAAATTTAAGTGCTTTGCCTTTAAGGCACTAGAAAATTATGTCCAGATTCATGCCCTTTTGCTAATTCTTGTGTTGCTCTTTTTTTCCCTCCTTTTTTGTTCTTTCATGTCTCTTCTCCATGATGCTTCTCTGCCTTTAAGGCTGGAAAGCCTTCCTGGTCCAGTACCAGCCATCCTCCTTCCATATGTACTTATTTCTTTTGCTTTCTTTTTCTTTACTTCTGTCTTCACTCATCCGCTCTTTCATTTTTCTCAATTACAGGAAAATATCAGATCTTCAGCTTGATTCACAATGGGGAAATGACTGTTGTTACTTCTGTTAGTTTTAATCTTTGTATCCCCACCCCCCCGCTTTGTCTATTTTCACCATATTTGGGGTTGCTTTCTGTTAAGACTAAACATTTTTTCTAGCTAGAATTGTTCTTTTTTTTTTTTTTGTAAAGCAGCAGTCACTTTCATATTATATAAAAGTATTGTCCTTATCCTACACAGAGCACCACTTAAGTATTAGTCTTTTTATTTATAATGGTCCAGGAAGGGAGATTTCATTTTTTAAATCTTATGTCTGTATGTCTCTGAGTAGCAAATGAATAAAACAGAATTGGAGCATGTTGTCCAATTCAGTCTCTCATTTCCTTTTTTTCAGT